GGAGTTTTGCTCTTGTTGCCCAGGCTGGAGTGCAATGGTGTGATCTTGGCTCACTGCAACCTCCACCTCTCAGGTTCAAGCAATTCTCCTGCCTCAGCCTCCCAAGTAGTTGGATTATAGGCATGCACCACCATGCCTGGCTAATTTTGTATTTTTAGTAGAGATGGGGTTTCTCCATGTTGGTCAGGCTGTTGAACTCCTGACCTCAGGTGATCCACCCGCCTCGGCCTTCCAAAGTGCTGGGATTACAGGCGTGAGCCACCATACCCAGCCATGATTTCAATCTTTTAAAATTTATTTATATTTATTTTGTGGCCTGACATATGGCCTGTCCTGCAGAATGGTCTATGTGCACTTGAGAAGAACGTGTAATCTGTTGTTATTGGGTAGAATGTTCTATGTATGTCTTTTGGGTCTAATTGGTTTATAGGGTTGTTCAAATCCTTTCTTTTCTTTCTTTTTTTTGAGATGGATTCTTTCTCTGTTGCCCAGGCTAGAGTACAGTGGCATGATCTTGGCTCACTGCAATCTCTGCCTCCTGGGTCCAAGCAATTCTGCCTCAGCCTCCCAAGTAGCTGGGACTATAGGAGCACATTGCCATACCTGGTTAATTTTTTTTGTTTTGTATTTTCATAGAGATGGGGTTTCACTGTGTTGCCGAGGCTGTTCTTGAACTCCTGAGCTCAGGCAATCCACCCACCTTGGCCTCCCAAAGTGCTAGGGTTACAGGTGTGAACCACCATGCCTAACCTAAATCCTTTATTTCTTTATTAATCTCCTGTCTGGTTGTTTTATCTATTATTGAAAATAGAGTATTGAAGTCTCTGTTATTGTAGGACTATCAATTTCTCCCTTCAATTCTGTCAGTTTTGCTTTATAAATTTTGGGTTTCTGTTGTATATGTTTATAAATGTATTTTATTGCTGTATTGAAACTTTTATCAATATTTAATGTTCTTATTTGTCTCTTGTAACTTCTTTTTATTTGAAGTTTATTTTGTCTGACAATACTATAGCCATCTCAGCTCTTTGGTTACTATTTGTATGGAATATCTCATTTTATCCTAACTTTGACTTCCTTCTGTTCTTATATCTAAAGGGAGTATCTTGTAGACAGCAGATAGATTCTGTGTGAGTTTTTCTAATGTAATCTGCCAATCTCTGCTTTTTAATAGGAAAGTTTAATCCATTTACATTTAATGTGACTACTGATAAAGAAGGATTTACTTCTGCCATTTATCTGTTCATTGTCTGCATGTCTTACATATATATATTTTGTTCTTCACTTCCTTTGTTACTGCCTTTTTATATTTAGTTGAGTTTTTGTAGTATACCATTTGGATTTCCCTTTTTTTTTCCTTTTCTGTATATTTTTTAGTTGTTGTCTTAGTGGTTAACTTGGAGACAACAATTAACATCTTAAACCTGTAATGTCTTAGTTTGAATACAAACTTAATTTCAGTACTATACATTCTATTCCTATGTATCTCCATCCTTCCCCTTTTATATTGTTATTGTCATAGGTTACAAATTCATCTATTGTGTGCCTATTAACATAGACATCATTATTTTATGCATTTGTCATCAAAAAAAAGAGAAGAGAAAGAAGAGTTACAAGTCAAAAGTACAATAATACTGGCTTTTATATTTACCTTTACTAGTGTTCTTTATTTCTTCATCTGGCTCCAAGTTACTGATTAGTGTCCTGTCATTTCAGCCTGAAGGACGATAGTATGTCTTAGCGTGGATATCTGAGTTTTTCCTGCTTGGAGTTTATTAAGTTTCTTGGATGTGTTGATTCATATCTTTTATCAGATTTGGGAAGTTTTGGGCCATTATTTATTCAAAATCTTTTCTTCTCCCTTTTTTCTCTGGAAACTTCTTCTTCCAGAACTTCCATAATGTGTATGCTGGCCAGCTTGATGGCATCCTATAGGTCTTAGATTCCGTTCACTTTTCTTTACCCTTTTTCTTTCTGTTCCTCAGATTGAATTATTTCAATTGTTCTGTCTTCAGGTTTACTGATTTTTTCTTCTGCCTGATTAAATCTGCTGTTGAACCCTTTAGTGAATTTTTTATTCCAAATATTGTATTTTTCAGCTCCAGACTTCTTGTTTTTTTTAAAAAAAAATAATTTCTATCTCTACTGATACTGTAATTTTATTCATACATTGCTTTTCTTGTTTCTGATACTCTAATTTTGTTCATACATTGCTTTTCTTGTTTCTCTTCATTTTGTCCATGGCTTCCTTTAGCTTTTTGAGTGTGTATAGGACAGTTGATTTAATGTATTTGTGTAGTAAGTTTGATACCTGGGCTTCTGTAGGAAGAGTTTCTATATTTTTTTCTTTGAAAGAGTGATACTTTAATCAGGCCAGGCGCAGTGGCTCACACTTGTAATCCCAGCACTTCGGAAGGCCAAGGTGGGAGGATCATAAGGTCTGGAGTTCGAGGTCAGCTGGCCAATATGGTGAAACCCCATCTCTACTAATAATACAAAAATTATCAGGACGTGGTGGCACGTGCCTGTAGTCCTGGCTACTTGGGAGGCTGAGGCAGGAGAATTGCTTGAACCTGGGAGGTGGAGGTTGCAGTGAGCCAAGATTGTGCCATTGCACTCCAGCCTGGCGACGGAGTGAGACTCTGTCTCAAAAAAAAAAAAAAAAAAAAAAGAAGGAGTCATACTTTATTTGTACTATTTGTATTTTATCATTGTTGAAAACTGGACATGTGGATACTGTCATGTAGGAATTTTGGAAATCAAACTTTTCTCTTCTCTACATTTGCTGTTTTTGATTGTTGAAGGTGTAACTTGTGTTCAGCCAGTGTTTTGACAGATTTCCTTGAATCCCAAGATCTAAATACAAACAAAAACAAAACAAAAAATCTTTTCTGCCAATCTTTGCAGATGGC